GTAAAATACTTGATGTGTTTCTGATTCATTTGTTGTGAAAATGTGTCAGCTGTTTTCTTACTACAGACAGAATATAGAGGAAGAAATATATAAGGCAAGTAGTGGAGATCTGTCAACCTCAGTGGATTTCTTTACAAACATCCAGCTCCACAGGCAGGAGGGTACTCACACTGTCCTCTGTGGGCAGAAAGATGGATGCAGTGGATAAAAAGGATTCATGAACTTTTCATCACAGCTTTTCCCTTATTTCCTCTCGCTTCTTCCTTCACTTCCTTATAACCCCTCCCTTTCCTCACAGCTCCCCTTTCACTTCTTCATAATTTTTTCCACACTTCCTCACAACTCCTCCGTCACTTTCTTCCAGCTCTTACCTTTCCCCATCAAATCTCTTCTCTCTTTTCCTTACAGATTTTCTCTCATAACTCTCCCCCACTTAATTCTAGCTCTGCCTTCACTTGTTTTAAACTCTTCCCTCATTTCCTCACAGCTCTTCTCAAATTTCCTCACAACTCTTACCTAACCTATTCATAGCTTCTCCTTCATTTCCTCTTAATTCTGTTTTCTCTTCCTCATAGTTCTTCCCTCACTTCTTCATTGTTTATCTCTCTCTTCTTTATAACTCTCTTCCACCACACCACACTTTCTGTTAACACTTCCTCATGAGCACTCCCTCAGTTCATTATGGCTTTTTCCTCTATTCTTCACACCTCTGCCCTTAATTCCTCATAACTCTTAATTCACGTCATCATAACCCTTTTACAGTTCCCTGTTGCCTTGCACCACTTCCTCACAACTCTTCCCTTACTTCCTCGCAATTCTTCTCCCACTTCCTCACAGCAAGAATACTATGACACAGCTCTTTTTCCACACTGTTTTTCAGAGACAACCCTACTTTCTTATAGCTCTTCCCTTTCCACAACTCTGCCGCACTCCTCCACAACCTTTGCTTTGCTCCTTCACAACTCTTCACACAATTCTCCTTCCTTTACTTCATTTTAGCCCTTCCCACAGTTTCCTGTAGCCTTCCCACTCACCCTTCTTCACAGTTCTTCCTCACATCTCTTTCCCACTTCCTCACAGTTCTTCTCCCACTTCCTTACAACTCCTATTTCCTCACAGTTCTATCTCCACTTCCTCTCATCTCTTTATCCTTTTCCTCACAGTTCTATCTCCACTTCCTCTCATCTCTTTCTCCTTTTCCTCACAACTCTATCTCCACTTCCTCTCATCTCTTTCTCCTTTTCCTCACAGTTCTATCTCCACTTCCTCTCATCTCCTTCTCCTTTTCCTCACAGTTCTGTCTCCACTTCCTCTCATCTCTTTCTCCTTTTCCTCACAACTCTATCTCCACTTCCTCTCATCTCTTTCTCCTTTTCCTCACAGTTCTGTCTCCACTTCCTTACATCTCTTTCACCATTTCACAGCTCTTCACCCACTTACATTTATTTTTAATTTTTTTTAACCAAGCAACATTTACATACTTCACACTTGAATCCTTGAATTCATAACATTAAAGAAAGTGACAACAGCTGTCTTTATGTGAGAGACTTGTAGTTAACAAATCTAACCTGAATCAGAAACGGTTCACAAAAGACATCGATGTACACTCTAAAAAATGCTGGGTCATTTCAACCCAATGTTGGGTCAAATATGGACTAACCCAACTGTTGGGTTAAATTTTGGTTACATTTTTAAATTAACTTTTTAACCCAACAGTTGGGTTAGTCCATATTTGACCCAACATTGGGTTGAAACAACCCAGCATTTTTTAGAGTGGGCTGGGCGATATAGCTAAAAAATGTATCAACGATATAATGTTTCATATCGTTCGGTATCGATAATTATTGACATTTTTATAACCTTTTTTTTTTAAACAAAAAGCAATAGAAAAAAAATGTTTAAATTTAACCACTGTATTTATAATTAACACAATTTATTCTCTCCTCATCACAGGCAGGCATAACACTCAATTCAGCATGTATTCGTGTTTGTGTGTGCTGTCTGCGTCACTCATAGTACGTGCCTATATCGTACCGTCGATAAATATTGATACCGTTTTATCGCCCAGGCCTACATTGATTTTCGATAGACACTGATGTTTTTATGTACATCCTCAGTGACGCTGAAGTGAATAATTCAGAGGACAGTCAATGTTACAGGGGCAGTTCACCTTCAGTTGCTGGTCCCTATTGACTATTGACCATAGTATGGAAAAAGAAAGTCAATGCAAGTCAATGGGAACCAGCAACTGAAGGTGAACGGTCCCTTTAACAGCAGCAGTTCCTCTGCAAGGGCGAGTCCTTGGGCTGGAGTTTGTCTGCTGAATGAAACATACTGATATCTGTTACCCATGAGTATCTGAGTGGTCTAGCGGTTTCTGTTGTTTTGCTGATGCTGGCGATTAGTATCTGTTTGACCTGGTATCTCTTTAAAGGCAATAACTAATTCAAACCTCATCCCAAGTTCTGTGATGAGACAAAAAGATAGGCTGCATCTGACACTGACATGAGCTGCATCTTTATATTATATATATTTGCAGATGTCTAGGTTCTGTCCTGAAATATATTACATTTGAATTATTACTTTCAATTATGTAGTCGGTGAGTGAACAAAGGTATTAAAACAATTCTGATTTTAAAGAATTTTGCAGCATCTGCTGCCAGAGAAAGATAATTAGATAATTTCATTATAGGCTGCATCTAACACTGACATGAGCTGCATCTTTATATTATATATATTTGCAGATGTCTAGGTTCTGTCCTGAAATATAATACATTTGAATTATTACTTTCAATTATGTAGTCGGTGAGTGAACAAAGGTATTAAAACAATTCTGATTTTAAAGAATTTTGCAGCATCTGCTGCCAGAGAAAGATAATTAGATAATTTCATTGTAATGCAGCAATGTTCTCCAGACATCATCAGTTGACTCCTGTTATATTTCTGCCTTGGCAATAAAAGTTTTGTGCTACACACTATGTGTATTTTGCTACTAGCAAGTCAGAGCAATTTTAGACCCTCACTATCAGCACCTAAAGCAACATTATCATGCTATATCAAGCATATTTCTGCATTTGGTAAAACTGTTTTAAGAGAGAGAGAGAAATGCTGCCCAGTCTTGTTCACTGAGGCATCTATTCTCTGTTCTAAAGTCCAGCTAAGTGGCTTTTGACCCAGTTTTGAGAAGGTGCTTCTTCAAGTGTGCATCAAAAGCTTGACAATTCATCTGATATGAATATGGAAAGAGACCAAAGCCAGATTAAGAGTTATACTCCATCTCTCTCTTTCTCTCTTACTGTATAACAGTTTTTCTCACAAACAATGTTTCCTGTTTCACTCCTGACTTATAGCAGCACTGGGAAAGGGTTGTTATGTGCTTCAGTCTTAATGTGAATATGGCATTGTTAGAACCAAAGGTATGAATTCATCTCCCTCTCTTCCGCTGTGGTAAGTTTTTATGTAAGGACAGGTTCAATTCTGCAGTTTTAGGATTTGCATTCAAGAATCAGATGACTTTTATCATACTGACTGTTTCATTGTTCTCCTCCCACCGTACAGACAAAAATTTAATTTTCTCTGACTGCTCCCCATAATTCCCTGGGTGTCTTAGACCTGTTTGGAAGACTAATTCCTGAGGAGGTTAGGTAAATTCATGTTTGAAAGATGTACTTGACATGATTTTAGTCCTGATCCGAATCGAACATGTGTGTTTTTCTTTGCAAATTATCGGCTGATTTTTCAGATACTTCAAGGGTCCTCTAATCTCAGGATAAGAATGCATGTGAATGCAGTATCCTATATTATTTTTCTACAAAGCTTCTTCTCATTTATTTTAACCTTTGTTGAATGCCTTAAAGTTAAATTTCTCAATGAGTCAGCAGTATGAGTGGCAATATAAGTTACAAACAATTACATTATTTCTTTGTAAATTAATATAACAACAACTTGGAAAACAGACAAAACATAAAAGGTAAGATGTGTTATTTGAAAGAAGAGAGTACTAATATAATAGACACAGACCTGTAGCGGAACTTGCTTTACTCTGCGCTGGTGTCATTTTTGATTTTTGTGAAAAAAGGCATATTGTAAAAGAAAAGGACAATAACTATTGCAACAGTGTTGAAGGCACATCATTTTCTAGAAGGTCATGCTATGTTCACAGAAATAGAGTAGTAAAAACGAGTTAAATAAAAGGGACGACACATACTTTAATCATATTGATTTTAAATAACGATTTTGTTTGAAACATAACTAAAAAAAGAGAACAATTAAAGAAGCAAGCAGTTTTTTAAGGTATGATTCAGCTCATTCTATTTCCAAATAAGAGCATCCTGAAATCTGAAATCAGGTGACAGGATGATGTCATAAACTGAAAGGATGACGTCCTTCATACGTTTTCATGACTCGTAAACTTTTAGCCAGTTTCTCTCTCCTTTCAGAACTTAATCCATTATGTCTTAATTACTTGAAATACTTCTTTGCATGTTTTTGTTCTTGTTTTCTTTCTCTGTGTTTACTAGTGTTATGCCTTGGACAAGGTACCTTGAGAGGCAGTCTAAAATTATTAAAAAAAAAACATCAACAGTATAACTCAGGGCTGAAATTTACACATAAGAGGAGAAAATAAAACGTTTAGATACAAAGTCCAAAGAAATCTAGGCCAAAAAACCCTCTAAACTCAACTATAATTCAAATGAATGTTATGAATGTTGATGTGTTTTGTGTCAATATCTCCATAGTATAGTATAGTGATCATAATTCTATGAATAAAAAATAAGAGTATTTTGACACTAGCTATATATATCTGTCTCAGTTTGGTATTAAGTAATTGCCTGTATCTGGTTGTGTATTGAGACATTTTTCTGCAGTCAATCTCAGAGCTTTCAATGTCAATGTCTGTACTTTCCCTTTGTAAACTGTAGTTATACATCCCAAAACCACTGTGAAAAACAACTAAATATATTTTTTTCCTATTCATTCCTTCTGCTTGCACCTCTCAGGGTTCTGTGGGATTGGAGGAGAGTTCATGCCCCAGCCCAGCAAACTCACAGCAGCCTGGAACTCGACACAGTTTCGTACAGGAGCACTTCCAAGCTCAGTACAGGTCAGACACCCCTTAATCTTTCATTTAAGATCAAGTCCACCCTTTGTCTGCCTGCCTGAGCTTTGCATTCTACTGGGACACTTGTGTGGTATTTAGGCATACTTAATTACTACTGTATGTCAGTGGTATTTGATAGGGCTGCACGATTAATCGCATGCGATATTTAACGCGCATCTTGTCAGAAAGCCGGTTCTGTAATCAGCGGTAAATCTCCATCACCTGCGTGCTTTCACATTGAGCAGCATTAACTACACAGAGCCGTTGTTCACTGATGAGCTGCGCAAAAAATTGCGCGAATATGAACGTGGTTTTGCGCAACTCGTCAGTGAACAACGGCTCTGTGTAGTTAATGCTGCTCAATGTGAAAGCCCGCAGGTGATGGAGATTTACCGCTGATTACAGAACCGTCTTTACTGACAAGATGCACGTTAAATATCGCATGCGATTAATCGTGCAGCCCTAGTATTTCATATGGTAATGGAATTGAATAACACAATACAGTATGTTGTTTTGTCTTAACCTGCTGTGACATCTAACAACCTGCATGCAGTTATACATATGGCAAGACCATTATACAAGTAGATAGAAGGGTTGAACAATTTGGTCTAAAATCATGCTGTGAATAATTTTTTACAAATATTTGACATGATAAACATTTACAGTAACATCTCATACGCTGCTGCTTAGAAAAAAGGCTTAAATAACAAAAAGGCCTAAAATCTCATGTTGAATAAGATGTTTGAAAACTATTGTAAGCTATGTCTTCAAATTAAGTCAAGTTTTGCTGATGTTCTAATGCCACCTTACTCTTTAAGTGTCTATATATTTGAGTACTATAAAGTACAAAAGTTCTTTAGTTACAAATGAGCATAGTTCTTGTTTGCATTCACATTATATCTTGACTTGAAAGTGGCCTCAGACTTCTTTTTGATCAATTTATCTGTGATTGAGTCACATTTCTAATTAATTAATTAATTAATTTTTGGAGCTAGGCTACTTAAATAATATTCTTATCATTTGGATATGGTGAAATATTGTCATTTATTTTCTTAACTGCCATTTTTTTTTCTTATTTTCTAACTTGAGAAAAAAGTTAAGAATATTTTGTATTCCCAAAAAAATTATTCTTAAGAATATTCTTTTTTTTTTTTTCTTAAGATTGTTCTTAAAGGGGTCATATGATGCGATTTCAAGTTTTCCTTTCTCTTTGGAGTGTTAAGAAGAATTCAAATTCTTGAAAATAATTTTCTCAAAAATCATTGTAAATAACTTCTTAAAGTTAGGATAACCTCAGACTTCTCTTAAATCCCACATGGTAAGAATGATTTAATGAATTTATTGGGTTATTTCAAATGAATTGTTATATTTGAGTATTACTGCAACACTAGCTACATATAATACATAGTAGGACTATTAATGTGCACGAGTTTTCTGAAGTGGCACACCAATGACTGATAATGTAAACAATTATCGGTCATGATTTTGTGTGACGTGACTTTTTGCTGAATTCAAAATTCAGTAACTATACAAAAAACGAGTCAGATAGGGAGCTCGTTTTTAATTTTAGCCTATAAATACGACATCTTTGGCAATATTCAGCACATATGAACGCGGCCATACACAAGACGCATTTACTGTACACATACAGGACTTGTTCACTCTGGAGAGAGCGCAAAAAGATGTGCACAAATGAATGACACAGATCACTCCATTTTGAGACAAGCTCTTTAAAAGTAACTGTTCAGAAACACGGCGCATTAAAAATGCGAAGCTGAGCGCCTGTCAAGCTGGTCGCGACAAAAGTGTGCACGCTTATGATTATACTGTAATCTGCAGACAACGCAAAAAGACAAGACAAGAATGATTTTCATTTGGTTTATCAGCTTGTCTTCACAAAGAAATGCCATTTATTCAACCAGATAAAGACTGTAATTTTCTTCTTAAAGGGGTCATATGATGCGATTTCAATTTTTCCTTTCTCTTTGAAGTGTTACAAGCTCTTGGTGCATAAAGAAGATCTGTAAAGTCTCAAGTCCAAAGAGATATTCTTTATAAAAGTTAAGAGTCAACCACTCCTACCTAAAACGGCTCGTTCTAACACGCCCCCACATATCTACGTCACGATGTGGGAAGATTTGCAAGTCATTATAATCTGTAATTATGTCCCCACTGGATGCAACAAATGTCTGATTTATAATGAGTTTTAATGTTTTTGTCTCGTCACTCCGGCCGGACAGGGCATCACAGTATGGTAATGTGCGTAACATTTCTGTCACACGCTTGAGGTATTCGACCAATCACAACGCACTGGATAGCTGGCCAATCAGAGCACACCTCACTTTTCAGAACAGTATAAGTCATTATAATCTGTAATTATGTCCCCACTGGATGCAACAAATGTCTGATTTATAATGAGTTTTAATGTTTTTGTCTCGTCACTCCGGCCGGACAGGGCATCACAGTATGGTAATGTGCGTAACATTTCTGTCACACGCTTGAGGTATTCGACCAATCACAACGCACTGGATTGCTGGCCAATCAGAGCACACCTCGCTTTTCAGACCGATGAGCTTTTTAAAAATCAACGCGTTTCAGAAAGGCGGGGCATAGAGGAGAAACAATAATGTACAGAATGTGGAAAATAATGTTTTTTTTTTTACCTTAAACCACATAAACATTTCATTACACCAAATACACAAAATAATGTTCTTTTTAGCAACATGTTAACAGGTAGACCCCTTTAAGATGTTCTTAAGAACATATTTGAGAAATTCTTAACAATGAACATTCTTATGAACATTCTTACGAACTTCTTGGAATTTATCTTAAGAATTTTATTCTTAAGAAAATGTTCATGAATCCAGCCCCTGGTATGTTTTTTCTCTCACAGTTTGGCTTTATAGAACACTGGTGAATCAACCTAAATAATTATTTAATAAATCTAAAACAATTATTACACTACCATTAAAAAGTTTGTGGTCAGTAAGATTTTTTTAATGTTTTTGAAAAAAAATCCAATTATTTCATAAAAAATACAGTAAAAACTGTACTACTGTGAAATATTATTAAAATGTAAAATACCTGTTTACTGTTCATTCCTGTGGTGTAAAAACTGAATTTTCAGAAGCCATTACTCCAGTCTTCAGTGTTACATGTTCTTTCAGAAAACATTCTAAACGCAATCATTATCTGATTCGATGCTCAACAAATGATTCTTAAAATGAAAGTATTGATTTCTTATATATATATATATATATATATATATATATATACTCACTCCAAACCGTTGAGCAGTAGTGTAATTAATCATAACCACCCAAAGAAACAGTTTTCCCACATGTGAACTTTTTTTTGTTGTTGTCCATTTTGCCTAGTGGAAACTGAGGAAATGTAAAATCCACTCTTGAGTGTTTGTTGTAGATTACAAACAAATGAGAATGTCATCCCTTTACTTTGATCAATGCAGCTCGTGCAAACTATTTAATTAACTTGCCGTCAGTTGCAGTTAAATTAATTGCATTAGGTCGCACAATTTTCAATTTTAAGTTTAATGAATTAGATGCATACTAATTAGTAATATTTTTAGCTTGTAATTCTTGCAGATTCCTTAAATAATCATGTTCACGGATTATTCAGACATCTTTCTGTACAGCAGTTTGTCTGAGAGTTTGTCTCCCCTCATACAAATGGGCTCATCCGGCACACACTGTGTGAGCTCTCTAGAAAAAAGCAGGCTTCACGCTATTCTCTCTCAGGCTGCAGGGCTGTTGAAACATCTGCGCCGGAACTTTCTGCAGAGTGAAAATGATCAAGTAATCCACAATTAAATCATACACTCTACTACAGAGAATATTACGCAAGCATAATATTCACCTATTTTTGGTGTGACAAAAACCTTCTTGCCAACAGCATTTCTGCTTCTGCAGATGTGAGCAATATGCAAATATAATATAAAGTATTTCAAGTGAATATAAAGTTTTCAAGTGAGCAGAACTTATTAGAGTAGGTTTAATTAGTTTTTTTTCTTCAGTGCTAAACATTCTAAAGAATCAAAGCATTTAGATTCCCAGAACTCCTCACCCAGTAGAAATGCAGGTAGAGATGGAATGGATTTTCTTCAATTGAGAGAAAAGGTTCCGCTTCTCAGTGAGTTCTTGATTTCACGGCTTCATTTTGTAATTCCATTAGCTGTGTTGGTTGCTCTAACTTTGAAAACCGAATGAATAATATTTCAGATTGCACAGATTGGGTGTTTATTTATAGCTACACACTAACACAGGAAGTACGGTTGCGATATCTCTGCTTTCAGTATTTGTTTATAATTAAAGTCAATCTGTCTGTCAGTCTGACTTTGCCTGTGGGGGTTTATCTTTGTTTAGATATTAAAAGTAGGGACACAAACACTTCAGCAGCTTTCATGATGTGGTCATTAATGTCTGGATTCAATCTATTCGTAGCTGTGAGCATTTCTTGTTCTCCATAGGTGTTTAATAAAGAGATTCAAAGCATTGAAGTTTCCTCAAGGACTTTGATTATAAAGATGGCTTTACAGTGTGGATGTTTCAGACTACTGTATTCTTTGTCTATTTAATAATGGTTTCTGCTGCAGTAATAGAGCATTCGTTTGCCATGTTGGAGCTGTAGTAGTAGGGCTGGGATATAGCCTATTGAATAGTCATAATATAAAGTATTTGTGATGATTTTGTGATTTACAGTTTACATAGTATGTATATTGCTGGGATTTTAATGTTTAATTAAGTTTCTTAAAGTTTGCATCATTAGATCATTATTAGTTTTGCCTCCTCCTTATCATGCAACTCTTTAAAAAATAAGTTTTCATAGTGTTTAAACCTCTAAAAAATTATATTCGAGTCAATTAGTTTGATTAGTTTCCATGAAACTGTTTAAATTGTCCATTTTTAATTCATTGAAATTCAGCAAACTCATGGTCCAACAGTTTATTTGGAAATTTTCACAGTTTCATAAGACATTTTTAAACGTTTTAGTAAAATATGCGATTTGTTGGTAAATACAAGGGTTGGACAAAATAATGTGAACACCTGGAAAATGGGCAATATTTCTTTATTAGGGTGTTTTAACACCATTTGCCTTTAATGCAGCTTACAACATTCATACAACTTTTGAATAGCAGTTGAATCAGAACATCTGCCAATTCAGAGATGTTGAAGTAGGGAATCTGCTTCTCACTGGTTTGATAATATTCAAATCAGCTGATTTGTCTGGCCAAGGCAGATGTTAAAGTTCATCTTGGTGCTCCGACTGCCCAGGCTTTATGATCATGACTTCATCTTTTTTTAGTACTGGTGTCTGTGTCTTAGCAGTTGCAGCTCTTTCATGGATGTTGGCTTTGTGAAGTTCTCTGTGGTCTGTTTTTGTGGAAACATGGACTTCAAGGTGAATATTGAGGCTTGCTGACACATTGCAGCAGCAGGTGTTGTTTGGACACAATTCTTCTTAGTGATCAATGATCCCCTTCATTCACTTTCGGTTTTCACACACTTTTCTTCTTTGCTGCTGAAGTCTTGCCATGCCTAGTGTATGCAGTTATAATTGTAAAGACGGTTGCTCTTAAAACACCAAACAGTTGGGCTGTTAAGGTTACAGTCACTACTCCTAAACAGGCCTCCATGAGTTTTTTATTTATTTTTAATTTTTTTTGGAAGTCTGACAAATCACCCATTTCACCCACAGCTTGTACTAAACATTGCTGAACACAACGTATACTACACTGATATACAACAACATTTGTTTTTCACTGTAGCCTACACGTAACCCCTATAATACTGGGTCACATTATTTTATCCAACCTTATAATTATAAAAACAGAATAAAATGATTGAAATAAAATTATATTTGAAATAAATAGCCTATAACGATATGATTACAAATACAATTTAAAAACATTTGTTTTAGAACAGATACATATATAACAAGATATGTATTAAATATTATAGAAAGAATAAAAAAATATATTAATTGTATATATCATCCAAGCCCACCTGTAGTGCTCATGTGGGTGATGCAGGTTGCCTCACTCTCTCTTAGCTGCCTTCCTGAGAGAAAAAAAAGAAAAGGGGGAGAGAAAATGAATGAAATGATGGTTCAGCCTCAGCTGCAGTAGATAACGGTAAGACAGGCACAAATGCATATCTGCCGTCTCACTAGCAATAGGGTTGCAGTTGTGATAACTAATCTGGGTTTGGTTGCAATATTAAAAATTGATTTTGACTACATCAGCTATTAAAAACACCCTGAAACCAGCCATACACACTTAATGTATAGGATATTTGATGTATAGAACTGCACAAAAATATTGCAAAAAGATACCCCCGATGTTGCTAAGGTATTGACTAGGAATTCGGCAGCCCCAGTGTTGATTTATTCAGAAGCTGAGTTGTTTCAAATATAATCTTAAACCCAGAACAGACTTTTGTGTTACCTTAGGCTGGTCTCAGTTTGCTCTCTTTGGATTGTTTTGACTGCAGTTTTTTTTTTTTTTTTCATTGAATGTATTTTTGTCTCCCTGGTGATAAAAGCGAGTAAACTGAGTAAGACTCTTTTTAGAAAAGAACTATGTGGGCTTGGACTGAGGTCGTAGCCTGTTTTGTTTGGGAAAAACCTGTTCAACCTGCTGTGTTGTTGACAAAGACGGGTGCTGAGCTGTTGGCTGCCAAGGTCCCCTCACTACAGATTGAGTGAAGGTTACTGAATGATTATATAACATAAATATTAATGGATGTATTTGTTGATTTTTCCCACCCGATTAAAATCAGGGTTCCCACGCTTCTTGAAAGTACTTGAATTTCAGACATATGGATTCAAGGCCTGGAAAGTACTTGAAAACAAACATAGGTCTTTGAAAGTGCTTGAATTAAATTTGAAATAAATTTTGTTTATGGCGCTATTTAAAAAATTGTACTATATGTTCTGTCAAAGACCGAACAAGCGGCACTAATGATTGGGGGCGATCTCCAGGGGGAGCGTGAAAAAAAAACACGTGTGTGTTGACGCGCAGCCTAGAGACCTGAGCGGGACAGTTTTCTTAAAGGGGTCATATGATGCGATTTCAAGTTTTCCTTTCTCTTTGGAGTGTTACAAGCTG